ACACTCACACAAAGTCAATGAAAAAGACATACATCAGTGCTCTAGACTCCCAATATATAATTTTTCTCTTCATAACAACCCTAGATAGTACATAAAATTAATTTATATTTATAAATGACTGAGACTGTAAAAGACTAAAGAAAGTTGCTATTAGTCTTTGGTTTGTATGGGGCTTTTTAAAGTGTGAACTACAATTTTTAACTAGTACATTGTATGTCATGGAAAGGCAAATAATTATTTTCTGTTCCTTAATTTTGCAATTGGAGGTCAAATATTATTATATTGGTATTATATACCTTCTGCTTATTCATTGGAATTCTAATATTGCATTGCTAATTGCATTCTAATTCTCGTTAGTTTTGATTTATTGGGCTATGTCTACTTCATAGTAGACATTAATTTTTGATCTTTATAGTCTCAGTACTTAGATTAATCTGAAAGTAATATGATTTTCTTAAATGGAATTATACCAAGTTAATATTTTTCTATAAAATATAGTGAGTTACATTGACAAAGGAGAAGCTTTAAAGTCAGTGAGCTGGGGTTTGGTGATGCTTCTAAGTCACAGGTCAGCTTGGCACAGGCCTTGGTATGGTTAAGAACCTCTCTTTCACCAGAGAAAAATGTTTCAGGTAATAACCACAAGGGCCTGAATTTGATTCAGCAGATTGTGTTATAGCTATCAATGGTTTATATGAAGGAACATTATTATAATGCATTATTGTACTTTATACTGATAGATACACAGGTGTGAATATGTGCAGACAACAAATACTATAATATATAAAAGTAAACAAGTAATATTGAATGACTAAAAAAGCAATAGTTATGCAGACAAGATAAATACATTGTAGTATAAAAATCAGTTCAACAAAAAAGGGAATATGATACTTTCTAGGAAATGTATATATTTGAAAGAGCTTATGAGCTCATATATCCCTGAGCTATTATATTTGAGCTTATAAATATAGCCTGATGTTAAATTATTGCATCTGGTTTAAACCAGGACATTTTATTCCTTCAACAATTCAGCACAGTGCCTGGAACATAGCAGGCTGCAATAAATATTTATTGAATGACATGGTTCATTTCATGCTTCACTTGAGGCTTATAAAGCTAATAGTAAAATTCTATGCTGTATGTCATTGTTTGCAGGGTGTTTAGAGGGCTGCGTTGTACCTCAATGGGAGGCTGATGGGAGGAACCATCAATTCAGTGTCTACGTTCTGAGAAATAGTGACAAGTCTTATTCCTTTGGGTATATTTGAGATGACAGTGTGTCTTTCTCAATGGTGAGACAGACTGTATCACAGATATTATGGATGTTCTACTGCCAATTGTTTCCTCTGAACTGTTTTAAGATGTCTGACTAAGCCCTTTACTTGAACTCATTTCATTGGTCATTTCTAGTAAAATGCTTTACTATAAAATATTTTTACTTCATCCTGGAGGGTATCTTTAACTTTCTACCTCAAAAAGGAGATCTGCTTTCCTGAGAGTTGACACTAGAAAAGAACTGAGATGTCTCCACAGACTAGGAAAGGAGACACTAGGCCATAAAGAAAGGGGTTTTGAGGGAAAAGGGAGAGATATCAAGGGTCACTGAAGTTTTTTCCCTTTGTTCAAAATTCAGGTACTTCAATAAGCAACCAGTGATATATCTGACAGTCTTTAAATAAAGAAAATGGTATTTGTGATGCTAGCTTAATTATATCAACTTGATTGACCTAAAAATATCCAGTGGATAGTAAAGCATGCTTCTAGGTGTGTCTGGGTGGGTCATGGAGGTGACTGTAGCTACTATATGTTCCTGGTACTGTTCCCCTGCTCTATCATAAACTAAGCATCTTTGTTCCACCTTGCTCTTCCAACATGATACTTTTGCCTTGAAGTAAGCTTACCATGGACTAAATCCTCCAAAATTGTAAACCCAATAAACCTCTCCTCCTTTAAATTCCAAGTATCAGCTATTTTGTCTAGCAACAGGACAATTGACCAACACAGTATCTCAAGAACTGGAATCCAAGACAGGGAGGAAGTTAGGTTCATTTTTCATGAAAATGCAATCCTTCACAGTGGTCACCTGGGACACTGTTGGTAAGGCTTCTGTGGACTCTGAAGTTCCATCCAGGTGTTGTCAGGGAAATTAGGGAATAAGGTGCAGAACAGGCCTTTGGAACAAGTTTTCCATATGTTTTTCATATTCTGAAATTGTGACCACTGGCCCACATCATGCTACCTTCCTTTAATTCTGTGTCTAATAGTCAGGTATGTGTGCACAAGTACTTAATTCTATACTTCAAGTAAAGTTCATTTGAACACTTTTTGACAGGAACTGTTCATTTGAATCATGTAATTTTCATTATAATTCTATTTTACATAGACATAACCTAGAACAAGATTTTGTAAATTTTTAAAATCATATATTTAGTAAGCATAACAGCTAGAACTTGAAGCCAGTGTCTTTTCTTCAGAAGTTGTATTCTTGTCCACCCTTACTCTTACTCTAGTAGTTAGGTTTTAAATGACCTGTATGTGTAAAACTAGAAGTTACTTTGTATTAGACCTTCAAGACCAGCTTCTTTGGTGTATAAAGTGTCAGAAATGTGGCAAACATTATCTCAAAGACTTGAAAGACAAAAAAGAAGAAAGTTACAGATGAGGCAATAAGCAATTTAAGAATCTGGAAACTAAAGTGGGAGGGGATGTTATGGGAATTACAGCAGGGAATGTCTACATGAGAAGATTGGATGTCTTAGGCAATTATTTGAAGTTTGCATTTTCTTAGTGATCTTAATTTTTTTTTTAAAAAAGGGCTTGTCTGGCAAGCCTGAGGTTATGAGTTCAATTCCTGGTACAAAAAAAAACAAAAAACAAAAAAAAAAAAACAACTAACAAAACCCAAAAGTCATACTAGAACATCTAATCTGAAATAACAAGAAAGGCACTGGACCTTGATTTTTCACAGATGGCCACAGTTTAATGATTCTCAGCTATGTAACATTTCCTACAGGTCTTGAAACTATTGCTCAATTCTAGTAGGATGTCAAGGAGGTTTGAGTGGACTTCAGATGGCACACATTGAGATATATAATAGAAAATTTCTTTGAAGAAGGACAAATTTTCAAAGTCCATAACTGTAAGTCACTGTCACTATGTAAGAAAATGAACAATTACGTGGCAGTAATGATGATGCCTTCACTGATAGTAACAAAAACTCATTTTGAAGGATTTGCTAATCATAAACACTATGCTAAATGATTTTAAAAGATTAGTGTACATAATCTTTACTACATCCTCTAGCTCTTGTAAATTATCATTTGCAGAGCAAAGAAATGCAGTAGAATATTAATATACTTTTTGAGTAACTAAATGTGAGCATATTGCTTATGAGAAAAAAAAAAAAAACAAATAATAATCCAGAGGTGGGAGACATTATCCACTGACCTTTGGAGAACTCAGCTCAGAGAGAACTAAATTTCATATTTTCAGGTGGCAAAGTAATTTTATGGATGCTTAAAATGGTGTATTTCAGTTACCAAATACTCTACAAATGAAAACACTAATTAAAAAAGATAGATGGGCACTATGACATCAGAATTTGCTTCATACCATATTTGTTACTTTGTCATATATGAAATAATTTCTTCAGCTACCTAGAAATATATATTCATAATTTATTTAGTTATTTGATCACTCAATAGCAAAGTATAGTGGTCATATTATAAATATATATAATATCAATTTTATATATACACATATAGCTGTGTATTGATCATTGTTATTCCATAAAACCTTTCTTTCCAAATTCACAATAAATTCATGGAGGGAAGGTCTTAATAGGGTTGAAAAAATAAAAGATACTTGGTAAAAATCTGTCAAATAATTTCTAATATAAACTGGAGAAATAAAAATGCTTTTTTCAACAATATCTTGAAACTTTTAAAGCAATGAGACAAAAATAATCTGAATAATATTCACATATGGTTATTATATTTCATATCAATAAAATGTAATTCAATACATACCTTGACTCATTTAGAGATATACAGATAAAAAGCAAGAAAGGAAGAGACAAAACTTTAAAGAACTTCCTATTCTCCATGCGTTTACAGTACTATTTTATGTATATCATAATTCTCAAAAAATTAAAATGCAATACTCATTTTTAAATCAGGAAGAGTTATAATACTGTGTGGGATTCAAAGGGACAGAGGGTCCATCCACTTGGTCAGGGATTCAAAAGGATGCAATGGGTTACACTTTGAGCAATTTGGGAATTACTCATTTACACATATTAGTGCATACCATGATTTAGGTAATAATAGTTTCACAGAGGAAGAATTTGAGCTCTGTGTCTTGAAGCACATATACAGGATTTGCAGAAGGAAATCACAAGCAAATTCACAGAGGTAGCAAGTGTTTATGGCCTAGAAGGAAGTTGGTTTGGTGCAGGTAATGGAGCTGCAGGTGAGCATGAGAGGACACACTGGTCAAACCTATGTGGGGTCCTAAAATGAAGCTCCTACATGCACACAGTGTAAAATTAGGGGGCTTTGGTGATCCTGGATGCATCAAAAACATGGCATAATCAGGGTGGAATCTGAGTCACATTATTAAGTGTACTAGAGTAGATGGAAAATGAATGCAGACAGACCAGTTGGAGCTCTACTGGTAATGGTTAGGCAGGTAGCGCATGCAAGGGTAATAAAGAGGAGAGGTGAATTCAAAAGACCCTATAGATGGAGATGGTATGTGACTTTTGACTGGCAGCAAACATGAGATGAAAGCTCAGAAGACCCAAAGATGCCTGACGGTTTCAAATACAGCTAGGAAACGTTAAATTAGTAAGAAAAGTTCACTAGACGAAACTTCACACACACAAAACTCTCGATCGATATATGTGGTATTTGAAAGAACTGAATGCAGTAGACATCTGCAATGTCTATTCCTTTCATGAAAGTTAATAATAGGAAAGTACATGTATAAAGCAATCTTACCTCTTTGCTATAGTCGCTGTCAGAATCGCTACTAAGTTCCTCAGTATTCATATTTTCCAAATCAGATTCCCCAGGTGCAATTGGTACGGTCACTGTGAGGCTGGGATTATGAATAAATGATTGATAATCACTTTCTTCCATCAAGTTTCTGTCCATGCTGCTTCCAAAGATGCTGCTTTTTTCGTTTTCCTTCTGGAAAATGTGATCTTTGCTCATTTCAGCAAGCGTACGGCTAGAGATATAGTTTGCCTTTTTGCTGTTTAGATCTTCTGTTTGTCTTATCTCCTGGGAAACCTTTGGCTTTTTTGAAAATGCTTTTAGAATAAACTCACGTGCGATCTGTTTCACATAATCTATTCCCTTTTTAATTCTGGCCACGGCAATCTGGAGGTTGTTTGCATCGGGGTCTTCTTCGATTGCTGTTAGATTGTCAGAACTAAATGAACTCAATAACAAAGCAAGGAACAAGTTGAGGACCTGCATCAGGTTGGAAGGGGGTGGAGGAATGCAGAGACAGGAAATGAAAGAAAATAAGGACAATTTTCTAAAATATAGTCCACAATACAAACTAGACTCCTTACCATTGTCTCCATATAATAGCTTCTGAGAACTCTAGGGAGCAGAGGGTCAACTACACCCAGGAAAAGTTACCATGGGGAGGAAAAAATGCCCCCAGCAACATGATAATTTTGTCATTTTGAGTTCATTTCTATATCAGGAGATGTTTAACCCATTTCCCTTTATTGAACTTAAACATTTTTCCTAATATTCACCTCTTAGTTATTATTTTCTACCTATGAGAAACAAATTGAATGAAAATACCAAAGTATTGTTTATTATGCTGAACCAGTCAGGCCCAGATCTTTCTATTAACTTCCCCAGAATATGAATATTACTTGTTAAACAAGGAGTATACAATACTTACATAGCCCCCATTATGAAATATTCTGTCCAAGTTTCCAGCCAGTTTTCCCTTAATGTGGCAAGCATAAAGTACAGCCTGTCCCTTAAACCTAATATAAGATAATAATACTGATTGGTTGGTTTTATTACCTGTTATTTTAATTCTGGGAGAGGTTATAAAACAGGTCATGACAATTTCTACTTTTGAAGCAAATTTCTGTTCATGAGAAAACTTTCTAATCTCCCTTCTGGAACAGGGGTCCGGGTTAACTCAACATTTTTCAAATAAAAATAAATTTTATAGAAGTAAAAAAACATTCAAGTTTTATGTAAACAATATTTTATATGAGAAACAACAAGGTAATTGAATTAACCTGTGATTTAAGTGTCTTTATGGACAAAATCACCTAGGTCATGTCTAGAAAAATCAAAATTACCCTTGAGGAAAAGGGACCCAACCTGATCTGTGTCACACCCAAAACAATTTGTCAGAAATGTTAAAGATAAAACAGAAGGTTAATACTGTGTCAAAGAAAATTCTAGGGGGTGGGAATAGGAATCATTTTTAAAAATTGATAACTATCAAGAAATCCTAAAGTACTTTAATTTTGGTCTTTATTCTCATTGAAAAATATATTTCAATATGAAATCTGTGTTTGCATGTGTTTGTGTCTTTATAGGGTTATTCATGAGGAGCTGAAAGACTGTTTCATAGCATTAGTCTCCTTAATCCTTGCAAGTGCTAGGAGAGTCCTTTTTGCATAATATGATCATGTTCAATAATATGCTCACTTCACTGAGAAGAGATAGAATAAAAACTTTCCATCAAACATCATAACAAGGCTCTGATATTTTATCATAATCTAATGGATGTCACAAACTGAAATAAAAGTCATTTTGTATCACCTCTAACATTATATTTTGCTAGAAAAGAAATATTCATAAAACAGTTGATTTAAAATCTCATTTTGATTAATGGCCTTCATCATTTTCCTGATACAGGCTTCCACTGGTTAAAATATTCTATTATTTTAAAGTTCTTTCTAAAACTTAATGGTTTTTAAACTTCTCAAGGGAGTAAACTAACCTAATGAATAAAAAAAGAAATTTAAAAATATTAGATCAGTTTAACATGTAACTCTAAAATCTAAGATTATATCAACAATATAATTTTTGATTCTTCTCAAATTCTGTACTACCAGCAATTTTCAAATTCTTCAGTTTTGGTTATCAACATACAGTTCTGTTTTTTATTATCATGGATCAGTAGCTAATGAGTGATGACCTGGCCCAGTCATCAGTAATTCTATATAGAATAAACAATCACTAATATGCCTATCTATATTTTAGTATAAAGCTATCCTGCCTTCCAAAGAGAAATGTTATCTTCACGCCAGTCCTCAAGCTCAAATATTATATTATGCATTCTTTAAAGACCCACTTCAGATGTTTTTCTTGAGTTCTACTGTGTAACTTTTTTTCTGGGAAGACCACTTTTAATCTTACTCCATTTACTCATTCTTTCTTTTCTGATCACTCTTTATACTAATTTTCTCTGCTCTTTTAGACTATAAGCATACTGAATGGAAGGATTAGATCACAAATATGTTTGTCTTTTTACCTAAATAATATGAAGCAGTGCTTAAATACATTTCTTCGTAGAGAAAGCACTGAAGAAAGAAATAATTGACCAGGCCCCAAGAAATACCAACCTTTAATTCATGCTTCAGCAAATAAAAATATATAAAATACTTCTGATCACTTTTGTGTGGCATAGTTTTACAACTTATTCTTCTGCTTACTGTTTTATATCAAAATTTTATATGGAGAAATAAAGTATATTTCTAGGAATGTGCAAAACAATCTCAAAAGAACTAAAGAAAGTATGTGTTTTATTGCATTAGTAGAAAAATTTTTGATCATAAATAAAACTAGAAAATTTGCTTATTACTATAATTTAAGGACTATCAGTAATTACAGAATGGTAATTATATTGCATATTTTTAGGCAGGAAAACTATAATTTGCATTTCACAATTCACTCTATATTTTTGGCACACTGTCATTTAGTATGTGATTTGATGAATGAAACTCTCTATCCTAATGTAATCTCTGGTAAAGATTACATGGGAGTTGCAAGGACAAAAAAAGAAATCAACAAGCTTTCTTTTCAAAATAGTGGAAAGTGAAGGTGCCTACCTTTGTATGTGTGGCTATTACCATAACTACACCTTCTGAGATACCTGATGGAAAATTTGATGTCAAATTGAGCACTGAGATAAGCCACCATGGTGAATTTGAAATGGGGATGAGCATCTCATCTCAATTTTCTCCTAGTTACAAGCATGAAAGCTTTTACCAACCAGTATAAAGGACAAAGTGAAAACAGATGCAAGGTGTTAATTAGGGAGATATGGAGATTGCTGTGTAAGTGAGAGGCTGTGGACAACTAGTTGGCAAACTTTTTCTGTAAAGGCCAGATAATACATATATTGGGCTTTAGGAGAAATAGGGTTTTTATGGTAGTCATTCAACTCTGCTGTTACAGTGTAGGGAAGAGATCAAGAGATGGGTGGAGGAGAGAGGGAGGGAAGGGAAAGGGGATGCAGAAAGGAATGAAGATATGTTGTGTACATGTACCAACTTCCCACAGGGAACACAATCATTACTTACTATAAACATCTACGAATAAAAATAAAAGAGTAAAAGTAAAAAAATAAAATCAATAAAACAAAAAAACCATAGGTATGATATAAAGGCATAAACAGGTCTATGTCTCAGTAAAACTTTATTTGTGCACACTGAAATTTGAATTCATATAATGTCCCTGTATCATAAAATATAGGAATCAAGATATATCATACACAGGTACAAATTCCCTAAGAGGAATATGATCATTATGTATATCTAAATTGTACCAATAAACATAATAAAAATTCTTCTTCCAATATCTTTAGTAGTTTAAGATGTAAAATTCCTTAGCTCAAGGCCAAACTAAAACAAGTGCTGGACTGCATGATGGTTTATCATGACTGCTGATTTGACTGGCTTGAAATACCTAGAGATTATTAAACCACACTTCTGGGTGTCTTTGGGTGTTGAAAGCATGCCTTTGGGAATTATACCTGGTCTCTGACTCCTTCCTCCCTAGTGTTTGTCCCCTTTTCTTTGCTTCCTGGATGCCACCACACCCTTCTGCCATGAAGCTTTTGCCTTGGGGGCAGCTAACCAGGGACTAAAACCTGTAAAACTTTGAGCCAAAACAATTCTCTCTTCCTATAAGTTGTAGGAGTAGTTATTATGTCCAGGAAATGGATATTTGGCCAATATAGACTGCATATGGCCTGTGGGCCATAATTTGGTGATCGTTGCTATAGATTTTAGGCTTTGTGACCACAGTGAGGTGTGACAAGCACTTTTATTTGTCTTGGTCAATTATAATTTCATTTTGTTCTTGTTGACTGAATCATACATTATTTAGTAGGGTAGTTTCATTTTAGAAGAAACGTCACATCTTTTAAGACATCTGAAACACCATAAGTTAAATTCTTATGACATCACTATCAAAATGAGAAAATAAAGTAGAAACTTTACATTATGTTTTTTAAAAAAAATCAATAAGGGCTATCCGGCCAGGGAAATTAAAACAACATTTTGTTTTCTTTTCTGTTCTTTTGTATATTAAAGTTGTCAGTATTTATTATAATAATTTTATATTCAATTAATTTTAAATTTATAAAAGTAACATAAATATCACCATAAAATAATTACTATAGAGAATTTTAAATTCGTGAACATCTGTTACATACCACTAGGTTTCCAATGACCATGACCATCATGTAAACAATAAGGCACATGGCTTGGCCAGCGACCTCCATGCAGTCCCACATGGTCTCTATCCACTCTCCACACAGCACGCGGAACACGATCAGGAAGGAGTGGAAGAAGTCGTTCATGTGCCAGCGTGGGAGCGTACAGTCCTCGTTGATCTTGCAGACACACTCTTTGTAGCTCTTGCCAAAGAGCTGCATGCCGACCACGGCAAAGATGAAGACGATGATGGCCAACACCAAGGTGAGGTTCCCCAGAGCCCCCACGGAATTGCCAATGATCTTTATCAGCGTGTTCAATGTGGGCCAGGATTTTGCCAATTTGAAGACTCGGAGCTAAAAGCAAATATAGTTTAATAGTAGTCATATAAAAGTGCCAATGTTTCTAATGTTGAGTTTTTTGTTCTAAGTTTAAAATAGTTTTTATATCCTCTCATAGGGTCAGTATTGGCTGACTGAAGTAAACTATCCCGATTTTTCATTAACATCTATTTTGAAAATTCCTATTTTTTTATACTTGCCACCACATATCTACAACACGTACTATGAATTGTGTAAATTTTAGTTTATGATTGTGATAAGAGCTTCTTATCATGGTTTTAGGTATTAGTTCTTTTGGAACTGACAACTTAATCTCTACTTTCTGATAATTTTGTGAGATTTTTATGCAGGTATTGAGATGATGTTAACCATTTTAAGAAAAAGTGCCTCAAAAATCTTTATTTTTAGTATATATTTCATATCAATTGTTTCAAAGATAATAATTTGATCATCAACTGTCAAATCCATTAAGTTATGAACATATTATGGTCAAAATAATAATTCAAAGCCAAGACACTTTTTAAAATTATTGAATTTAGTTTGTACTTACCAGCCTAAATGATCTCAGAACTGACAATCCTTCCACATCTGCTAGAAAAAGTTCTACCAAACTTAAAGTCACAATAAGGCTGTCAAAAATATTCCAGCCTACTTGGAAATACTTATATGGATCCATGGCAATTAATTTCAAAACCATTTCAGCTGCAAAGATTCCAGTAAAGACCTAAGTGAGAAATGCAACAATTTGCTTGTATTATTAGAAGGTATGGAATCAACATAATGATGATGATGACTATCTGCTTAGCATTCACTGAATGCCAATGTGCTACATACTTTCAAAATGGACGTTATCTCATTGTATCCTGTAAACAGGTGTAGCTATTCCTATAGTTGTTCTCATACCAGCATCAAAGAGCTTAAAAACTCCATCTTGTCAGTTTTAATCATCAAAAGACATCATTTGGGAGGAAGATATTAAAATTCCAGAGAAGTAAAACATTTGACAATTAATACAGTCACTCTTTGTAAGATATTGATTCACAAATCATTTTAGAAGAAGGAAATATAGATTGATACTAAAATTTTGAGCTGGTTTTTTCTGATCTTACTACTCTTAGAAGAATAAAGAACATGTGACTCACTCTTTAAAAGATTTATCAGTAGAAGTGGAAAAAGTAACTAACACAGCTGAAGTTCGACTTCCAAACCTTTGATATAAAATTGCACTGCAAAGCATGATTAATTCATGATACTGGTATCAAAGGACTCACTTAAAGAAGTAAGAGTAAAAAACTTACTTATTACTCATTTGAATACATTCTGACTCAGAGAATCTGGCCACAAATGGTTCAAAGGGAAATAGGTCTATAACTGCATTAGATAATTTACATTTACCATCAAATAATTAGCAGGGAGCACCTGTGGTGCTGGCATAGTAGAGAAGACACATGGTGAAACCTTGGAGTTTACAATAATGCAATAAACTCAGGGAGAAGATGCAGGCATGTATGATCAATGATTTAAAAAAAAATAGTTCTGCCCTTTTCCCAAAGACGAGTAGAAGGAAATAATACTAAGTCAGAGAGTTAAAATGTTAACTTTTGGATGAACTTCAAAATATCTGTTGAAGGGTATATAATTACTAAGAGCCAGAATCACAATTCAAGTCCAGGTCTTTGGGACTCCAAAGGCCCAGATACTTCACCACTATTATAGCAGTACAATGCATCTATAGTTTTTTGTGTGCTTCTAAGGAAGTTGATGTGTAATTATAAAAGATTTAAGAAAGTATCAAAATTTCAAAGTGTTCACCAGACATATGGCTGAAAAAAATCGCTGTTAACTTGCAAAATGATGACATATATGGAAATAGCATTGTTATTTATAGAATTTAAAACTAATACAAAACTATTTAAAGATGGAATATATACCCAGAATCTTAATTCTGCATAGTACTTCACATGGTACATTCTAGATATGCATAATTACTTAGCTAAATGTGTACCGACTTTTAAAAAACAAAGTAACAACAATGACAGCCTAAGAGAGACACTCTGGGTACATAACACCAGAAAAGAAACTCACCAAATTTCCCACAGCAAGTACATTTTTGAATTCATCAGTCATTGGATGATGTTCCATAGCCATAAATAATGTGTTTAAAACTATGCAAATGGTAATTGCAAGATCTACAAAAGGATCCATTACAATAAAATAGATAAACTTTTTGAATTTTATCCAATATGGAGAGCAATTCCAGATCAAAAATGTGTGTGCAAATTTGTACCACCAACGTGGACATTTTTGTCTGGACTCTTCAAGTTCTGGAAGAGGAAAAAAAAAAGCAACAATAGCAAATCATTGCTTTACATATTTTATTCATCCCAGATACAAATTAGCACCACAGTCTAATATTCAAATAAAGCTTGTTGCTTACACTTTGTATAACAGTGCTATTCCTATGAAAGCACAGCATATCATGTGAAAATCTTATATTACATTTGTTAACTAAATTAAGCAGAAGTGAGGGGAAGGCAGTGAAACTAATGACTGAAAGCAGATACATGAGCGTCTCTGAGATAAAAATACACTAACAAAGGATGAAAAGCAGGAGAACCAGTGTTGCCTTAACAGAGAAATATTTATTTGCAACCAATGTATATACTTTTGTGCTGTGTATTCAATCCCATGACAATGGTAAGATAATTTTATTCTGTCCAGAAAAATATTTTGCTTTTTTGAAGTAAAAACAATACCTGAATGATGACACCAGAAATTATTTCAAGAGGAAAACAGGAAATAGACATTGACCCCCTTTAGCTCCATTTCTCCTCACCATAAGTTTAGGGAGTAGGCAGAAACTTTAGGACCATGATGATGGTGTGGGAGTGAAAGGTCAGCCTTTGGACAAAGTGGAAGCTGTGGCATACATACTGTGATGAGAAAGAATGGGAACCAGTCCATTTTTAAAAGCCATCACCCTTTGACTCTCCTTATCAGATGAGAGATTAGATCTTCTCTAAAATCATGTAAGTGAGAAAGTCACATTACTTTGTCATCTAGGTTTCTGCATCAATTACTATTAAATTGTTTATCTCTGAAAGGTCATTTTATCTACTGTGTTTTTAATCACAAATAATGTCCTCCACATTTAAGGAATGTGTGCATGCGTGTGTGTGTGTGTGTGTGTGTGTGTGTGTGTGTGTGTTTCAGCACTGAGAATTGAACCCAGGGTGCATTACATTGAGTTGTATCCACATCTTTTTTTTTTTTATTCTAAAATCCTGAGACAGGGTCTCACCAAGTCACTAAGTTGCCTCAACTTCCCAGAGTGCTGGAATTACAAGTGTGTACCACAATAGCTCATTTTGATTGAAATGATTCAAATGATTGTATCAGTTTCCTTTTGTTATCTTTACTATTGCTTGAGGACATTTTACATTCTTTGAATTTTTCCTAATAACTTCATGTACTTAGCTAAAAGTATCTAGAATTTATATTTCTTTTACTTAGGAACTAGTAAGGCAGAGAACATCATAGCGTACCTTCTACCGTGTTTGAGAGGATGCTTGCTCTGCTCATTGCCCTTTGACGGACGTGGGGATCATTCAGCATATCTTCCGAAAGAAAATAAGAACTGGAACGTCTTTTTTTGCGTATTTGAAGGGTTGTACCCTGGAGAAAAAGATGACTTAAAATCTTAAGAATAGATTTCAAGGGGCTGGGGATTGAGCTCAGTGGCATAGTGCCTGTCTGGCAAGCCCAAGGAATTGAACCGTGAGTTCAATTCCCGGTACCAGAATAAAAAACAAAAAGAAAAAAAGAATAGATTTCAGTGATACCGCGTGGGTATAAATTAAAATGTTAGGGTAGTGTACAGAGTAATTAAGAGTACAGACTAGATTGCTAGGTTCAAATCATGGTTTTGCTATTCACTGGCTGGATACCATAGGAGATTTACTTAACTGGTTCATCATGGGTAAGTGAGGGTACTAAGAGCACTTGCTTTGTATTTTTGTTATGGGAGTTAAAGAAATTAATACTTAAGTTTAAAAACAAAGCTGCTTTTATCATTACAGAACTATTATCAATTCTCTTTCAAGTTATACAGTTCATTCAGGTATTAACTAAAAGGTCCTACACATAAAAATGGCTAGAAAAATGAAGTAGTGATATGTGTATAAAGAGATAAAGAACTCAATATTCTCCAAAAATTTTCTCCAAAAACTTTCTTGAGGTTGGCAAAGTTAGTGAAAGCTACTGTAATGACTGTTTTTTGTGGCCAAGAAAGATACCTCATGAGCTCAGATGACTGTAGGATGATAAATGGCTCACTTTGAAAATGATACTTGGGGCTGGGGATTTAGCTCAGCGGCAAAAGCGCCTGCATGGTAAGCGCAAGGTCGTGAGTTCGGTTCCCGGTACTGGAGAAAAACCAAAAGAGAAAAGAAAATGATACTTGATACTGATATAAAATGTGGCCAAATAGAGAGCGCCAGGCCCATCTGAAAGAGGTGACCACTCGGCAGCTCTAAACATTCTTGCCATGCAGGCACAGAGCTCAGGTACACCACATAGATTCATATTTCAGGAAAAATGTCTTTTTTTTTTTTTTTGGTTTTTCTCCAGTACTGGGAACCGAACTCACGACCTTGCGCTTGCCAGGCAGGCACTTTTGCCGCTGAGCTAAATCCCCAGCCCCCAAATGTCTTATTTTTTTAAGCATGGCAGTAATTTCAAATTTAAAACACTATATTGCTTCGTGTAATTCAAAATCATACATACACACATGCTCACAAACACACATATATATATATACACACAAACTACACAACTCTATATCATTTATCTGTTTCAGTATGGCATGTGGTATATATTTTACAAACATACATTTACATATTCCATATAAATATATAGTTCTAGAGTTGTAAATTTGCATAGCTGCATAAATATAATCTTATACATATCAAAACATAGGCACAGAGTCAAAAATATGTGTGTATGTATATATGTGTGTATGCACAGACACATGCAGTAATTTTTTATAAATAATTTTCTGAAACCATATTTGCTGTGCAACAGTCTCTTATTTACTGACTTGCTAGAAGCATAATATTTCCCCTAAGTCAAATAGTAATTTTTTTTCATTAAAACAATTTCTTTTCAATGCCTTAGGTGCAGAGATAACATTATTTGTCATGCAATGTTTTCATGTAAACTCTATTATGTCACACTTTATGATAATTGCATTTATAATTCCTCCAGGCTTATAGCTTTGACTTTAGGGTTTGCTGTGGTATTGATTCTTCTGTGGTAAGATAAACTTATAAATAAAAACACTTGACTTAAAAATGTGAAATAAGCTCCAAATCTAAAAGAAATTACACATTTTACAGACAAAAAAAAGTATCATTGCAGAACAACACATAATTAAAATATGACTTCATAGAAATTTGACATGCGCATTTGATAAGGTAAATACCTTGACAGCAAGGTTTAGGCTATATCATGCAAACACAAGGCCATACATTACCACAGAGCACATGCATTCATTCCAACTGAATTGTGTATGTTGTCATGGCTTTGATGGAACTGTATTCTCACTTGAAATACTACAAGGTCTGCTAACACAAATTTAGGAACAGATGGCATATATGGAGAGATTGCTGAGGGATTAGGAGCCTTCATCATATTTGGTGATGTAGCACAACATAATGAATGAATGAATGGGTAAAGAGTTACCCTGGAAACTCCAAGAATGAGGACAATCTCACTTTCAAACATAGTGAGACAATTTTCTCTGATGCCTCAGTTTCCGCTATTAAACTCACAGAATTGCGGTTTTGAAGACGTTGTATTGCTTTTGTTTCTGTTTGTTTGTATCAGTGCATGTGTTTTTGATATTTGATTTTTACTCATAATCTTCAGACAGAAGAGAACTTTAAAATGCAGAGTACTGTTTCATTTTCATAGGGAAATTAAGCATGGTCATGCTACATAATTTGAAAGATGAGTCTAGTATGTATTAGAAAGACAGCAGAATGTGGCCCTTAAGAGCTCATTCTCTGGAAAGAGGTCTGTGTCTACACCTTGGAGCTACACATTAGCTGGGTGAATGTAGGTAAGCACTTATTTTTCTGTACGTCAATTTCCCCACTTGTAAACAGCGGTAGTAATAGATCACCTAGTAGAGCTGTTGGGACTCCTAAATATGTGCTTGTTATTATTATGGATGATTTGAATAAGATGTCTTGTAAAAAGCTACATATTGAGTAGTGACCTAAAAAGACAGCAGCAGGTAGCAAATAATACAATTTCTTTTCAGAAATGGGACTTATTTTCAACTGAGAAGGTCAGCATTATCAGTGCCTTTTTCTGTGCTGCTGCATGTATCTTTTATAAATTGTTCTCTAAAGGGCTGAGTTCCAGTCTCCAAATATGACGTCAACAGATAAGTACATTCTTTTAAAAAATGCAATATGAAACACCTTTGAATCGACGCCTAAAACACATAGTATGAGAATTAAGCTAGTGAGTTAAAGGTGCGTTTCTATCAGAGAAAGTATTGCAAAATGCAGAGCCATTCATGGGCCAGACAGAAGGCCCCTGCAGCAGAGAGACTGATGCAGGAATAAGGGCCAGCCATGCCTGAGCTACGGAAAAACATCCTTACGCTCTCATCAGAAGTTGCCTTATCTATTATCACCTCTGGCAGAAGCTGTCCATTGGGAAGCATGAGGGCTGAGGGTCCATCAACCAGGGAAACCACACCATTGCAGTCCACGGCACTGTGCATCTTCCCGTTCACTGGCAGCATTGGGGGGGACCTACTGGCTTGGCTGATGTTACTGCTGCGCCGCTCCCGGAATCTGGGGGGCAGGAAGAGTGAGCCCCGTCTGCTCTCACTGTCTCCAAAAATGCTGTGCTCGTCATCAGCAAATTCAGTCTCAGATCCTATGTCTTTTCCTCGGCCCTTGAAACTGAAAAGACTTGTCCTGCTGCTGCGCCTTGCGGAAAACAGGGAGCCACGAATGCTGAGTGGTGACTGCAGAGAAAAATACAAGGTGACAGGTCTGCTGGAATGCCCACACATAGCTGGTGCACGTCACAGGACTGCCACTGGCCTGAAGGCAGGGGCCTCTGCTGGCTCCAGAGAAACATATTGAAGAGCAGAGCAAGTCAGTGAGGTGACAAATTCCCCCAAATAAAGAATGAAATAACTTGAAGAATTCATCCTTCAGGACCAGGTAGATTATTTGTGCAGCTCTTTCCTGTTATTTTTTACAGTGGTCTCTCCATGCTTCATACCCTTATTTTGCTAAATAGACTTGTCACTTAAAAATTTGGTATTGATACCTGTCACATAGCTTTTCCATCTCTAAATTCCACCAGAAATTAAAACTTTCCTAAATTCAAGTGCTTCTTTGTATGACATTGCTTGCAATTCCTCTTTGCATGCTCAGAGCTAAATTAAGGTATGTTTTAAAGGATCTGATAGCAGGGAACTTACAAAGTCATAAAATATTGGAGCTTGGAAAACAAGTTGTGCACTACTGAGGAGGGGGGAAAATTATGTTAGTATGATTCATATCAGGGAGAAATTCTTTCCATAAATCAATATCTAGTGAAAGTTCTTTGGAAGTATCATGTTCAAGAATCATCAGTGCTTACAATGTAAAGGACATGGTGACAGCATTGTAAACAATGAAAAATGAGTATTATGAGGTCTTTGCCTTAAAACTACCTTGGACTGCTGTAGTCCTATTCCTTTCATTGGTACCATTTGGGTTCTTGTTTTTGGTCATCATCTAAATTATGAGATCTTTGCAGGAAGGGACTCCTTCTCTGTATATCTGGCAGAGATTTGCAGCCTGAAATAGTGGAAACTGGAAATTTTCAATGAAAGCAAAGATGAGAAGGATAAAACTTCTGGGTGTGGCATTAGAGAGCAGTTATGGAGAAGTGGAGAGGACCAAGGATATTTGTAGGTCGCAGGACATGTTAGCTAGTGGGTGAAGAGTGAGTAATGTTATGCCAGGGCAAAATGACAAAGAAAATAACATCAGTTAGAGAAAACTGTGTGTGTTAAATAGCAAAAGCCTGAAAGTCCAAAACCTGTGGGCTAGGGGGAGCACTCTAGTTTGGTGAACTGAGGGTAAAGGTAGAGAAAGACAAGAACACAAAGCCAAGGAGAGTTTGTGGAGTGGGTAGGATGTGGGTCTTGTTCAATAGTGGTTTCTCAACTGAATATTTTTTCTTTTTCTTTTTTCCCTTCTTTCAATTGGGCAGAAGGACAACTGGGTTTTTGTTGTAGAAAATGTCTTTGGAGGCTGTGTGGTAGAAAGAAATGTTAAGGAAGATAGAAGCAATGGTTCGTCTTGGGTCTTTTTTGCATACAGCCATAGGCAAGGGGGGCTGATGTATGGAGCTTTCAGTGGAGAAGGGAAAAAAAGGAAAGAGAAAATCACACAAACAGAATGAACAGACTAGGAGACTGCAAAGCAGATGGTAATAGAGCTGGAGATAGACAATGTCAAAGGCATCTACAAAGTTCTACACTGGGTACCTGGTATTCTGAGGATAGACAACTACAGTGGTAAAGAAGGAGATAAATTAAGATGGCTTTTTAACTAATGTTTAAGAATACAGACTAATTGCAGGTATGGAAAGTAATCTATCAAATAAACAGTATGTTCATTTCTAAAGTGATTCTTGAGAATAGTTTGTTTTAGGAAATTTGATCATTGATGAAGATAAGACAACTCTTACACTATAAGCGCCTTCAAAAATGAATAACTCGGGGCTGGGGATTTAGCTCAGCGGCAAAGCGCCTGCCTGGCAAGCGCAAGGTCGTGAGTTCAGTTCCTGGTACCGGAGAAAAACCAAAAAAAAAAAAAAAGAATAACTTCATGGGAAATCTGAGTATGTCTGTCTTTTTTAAATGCCCAGAAATAGATTTTTTTTTTTTTTTCTTTTTGAGACACGGTCTCCCTGTGTAGTTCAGGCTGGCCTTGAGCTCACTTTGGAGCCCAGGCTAGTCTTGAACTCACGGCAATCCTCCTGCCTCAGCCTCTCAATCGCTGGGACGACAGGCATGCACCACCACACCCGGCCTCAGAAATAGATTTTTTCTTTGCACGTACCAATGACAGCACTCACACTTCTCTGCGGGAGCCCTCACCCCAGCTAAGACACCCACCTCTTCCCTGCTAGGGGTTCGCAGTACCTGGTTAGGGGTGGAGAGTCTCTTCTCGCGAGCCTGTCTGTGCCCTTCAACACCGAGAAAGAAGCTTTTCCTTCGGATGCTCTCTTCTGATTCCGACTTGGACAACTTCTCATCGTCTCCCTTCTCCTCTCCACTGGAAAGTTTCTTCTGATTCTTTTTCTTTCTTCTGTTTCTTCTTTCCTTAGCACTTTTCGAACTCAGCTTGGACGTTTCTGAGGAGCTCTCTGAGAGGCCCAGGATTTGGCTTCGTCTCATACTTGTGTATTCAGCCGCTGCCGCCGCCGCTGCTATTGCCTGTGCACCCGAGACATTGCGCTCCATAACTCACCTGAAAATTCTGGGAGACCCTCTGGCAGGTACCGAGCTCCCGCCCACTTCACCACTCTACGTACGTCATCCTGTTCCTTGTACATGAAGTGGTGCAGCTTTCTCTGCACAGTGGCCAGAAAGCTCACAGCGCATGGATTTGCTGCCTTTCCCACACTGTAATAAAGCTCAGTTGTTCTTGGGAAATGAACTCTTAGATGTTACTATTTGCTTGCAGTAAAGCAAATGTAAGAATTATGTTAAAGGTTTATCAGGTAATCTTGAGACATAAAACTCATACGAACTGTGTAATAATACTGATTTTCTGTATTAGATAATTAACTCAATCTTATCGATCGAATCGGACCACTTAGTTTTTTGAGATGGAATTATCTAACAATTCAAATGAATAATTTAAAAATAATTATATCTAGAGAAAACCGTAATATCAGTGATTATTTTCTTCAGGTCCTCTAAGAGCTCCTAAATTGTATCCAGGATAATGTAGCACATATATCACCACATTGTGAACATTTTAAAAAACAAAATCTAGACAATTCTTCTAAAAAATTGGGGACAAAATGTAAATGAAAAGCAGAAAAGAACCTACAACCCTACACGACCAAAATAAACGGTGTTAGTATGTCTTTTACCCTTTTCATATGTTTATATAATTTTTAAATTGTGATTATATTATTTAATCCACTATTATTTAATAGCTTTTTCCACAAGACAAATTATGTTCTTAAAAACACAATACTATGGCTCACAAATACTTTAAGATGTGAAAATAATTTAAATACTTTAACCATTTTCTAATTTTTCAAAATATGTTTTCTGATTTTTAGATGTATTAAAGCACTGTACTGCATACATTGGTGCTTCAAAATACCTCTGCATCACAGATTATTGCCCTGTATGAATGATCTTAGATCTCTTGAAGAGATTTAAGAACAGCAAATCATCAAAGAAGTTTTAAGACTCTTGAAGTATATTTGAAGTTAGGTTTCCTTAGTCTAAGCTTTCTCAAGCTTTTCTATTACAGCACTCTCTCTTGGAGAGAGCATTAAGAGGAATCTTCAAGGATCTGAGACTTAGCTTAAAGGACCTACAACCATTAATATGATTTTTTAAATTTCAAATTTTATCCTAAAACTCTTTGCAGCATTAAGACAAATTGATGCATATTTCATTTTTTTATTCACAGACCATGTGCTTTTCCCTAAATGCTTCTGTCCAATTGTTACTCTAGGGAAATGCATCATTTACATTTTGGAAGCTTGTGTGAGCCTGTACATATTTAAGCACTGCTGGTAATAGCTTTAGGAGCAGCAGCTTTGAAACATCGTGTATGGGACAGGGAATTGATTGTGGGAAAGATGTCAATGTAGCCGAGTCCAGAACTAGTTCTTTCAATCTTACGAGAAATGAGGATGCAGTTTAGATGCAAAAGTTAAGGAAAAAATCTACCAGAGGAAGGCTGAACATGGACTCCAGGGCCTCTGTCACTGACCTTTGTGTTTTTACTTCTAGCAAATATTCTAAACCAAATAACAGTACCTCAGCTTCTTCTTGTTCTTTTTTGAGCTGATCTAACATCTGTTTAAATTCCAATTCCTTCTGTTTAGCTTCTTCAATGTTTGCCTGGTTCTGTTCTTCATAGGCCATGGCAACCACAGCCAGGATCAAGTTGATTAGATAAAAGGAGCCCAGGAAAATCACGACTACAAAGAAGATCATGTAGGTTTTGCCAGCAGCACGCAGTGTCTAGGGAAAAATGGAGATTTTTGTCTTACTAATACAGCTTTTAAAGAGAATTATTTCAGTGTGAATGGTATATTGAGCATGCACAAATTGGGTAATTTTGTATAATCTCATAAAAATGTAAAAGAATAAAATGATACTTTCATGGGAAATGATCAATATTAAAACAAATTATTCTTAATACAAAGGATGTAGCAATCTGGTAGAAGTGTACTAAAGTTAGGTGTGATTCATGAATATTATTCAGTATAATAATATAACAATCCTGTGTTTCCATTTCCAGAATCTGAAAATTACTAATAAAATGAGTTCATTTGATCACTTTTAAATTTAGGGACAGATAATGCCTATAGTGCTTTTTATTCTTATACACCTGTCTTTTCTTCTTTTAACATAAATGATTAATGACAATGTGTAATGTTAACATAAGATTATAGACAGCCTAAATGAACTGATCTATTTATCCCATAGGTATGTATTTTTAACATGCTTGATCATTTTAAAATACAGCATGCTTTTTATCTATCACTCATTTAATTTTTAAGTTAATTCAAATGCATGCAAAGAATTAAATGAAAATGTTGAGAGGAGCAGTCATGCCTGAGAGACTCAGGGAAGATCAACATCTGGATAGTAGTTATAGAGAGAGGAAGTGGTGACCAGTCTGCAGGGCTCACTCCTTGCCCAGCTTGGGAACTTCCCAAATAGCCAGTGGGAACCAAGGAGCCCTATGCAGACTAGCTGCCCAGGATAGACTCTGAGTATACATTTGCCCCATCATCCCCTCTCCAAAGCAAGCTGCAACCCAGCAGCATTCTCTCAATGCCCACCAAAAGTAGGGGAAGCCCCCTGCCCTCCCTTCTAACCTCAGGCAATGAGAGAATGGTGACTGCCAAGGCCACCCAGCTGCCTGTCCCTGAAGTCACCATCTAGTACCCTGTGTCAGGACTGGGCCCATTTATGTAGCATCTGAGTGCCCCGGGCATGGCCACATCGCTGTCAGACCCTCAAGTTAGTCCCAACTAGCAGGATCCCCATCTGACAGACAGAGCTAACACTGGACCCCTGGAGTCAGTGCTCTTATACTTAGTAAGTAAATATAAAACAGGACAAAGGAAGAATATGAAAATTCTGAGAAAAGAAGTCCTTATTTATCATAAAGAATCCTCATTTCAGTCTCTTTCCTGTTGGGATTAGGCACTGAGAATGTACACATCAACACAGCCCCTGGCTCCGGAAGGTTCACGCTCAAGTCAGAGACAAACAACTACAGTAAGAGATCAGTGCAATGACCTGAATTCACAAAGGGTATGGAAGGATGGAGCAAAGGACTTGGGAGAGGGGAGCTCAGAGAAATGAATTGAATCTCTAACTGTGAGTGTTCAAAATAAACCACGGTGGTCACGTGAGCATAGGAGAGCCTCATGAGTTCAAGACAGCCCCGCCAAGCACATGAGGAAAGCGATCTCTGTGCAGGCTGGAAAGAACACTATAGCGTTTCTTGTTTTCATAGGATCACATGGGTTGATGTACTGAGAAAGAGAAATGATCTAGAGATCAAATTTCCTCAGAAAGAACAAGAAAAACAATTATGACTTAGGATCTACCTGCTGTCATGGTGCTGGATAAAACAGTTCTCAGTCTAGTAACAAATGGTAGCATTTCCGCTATTCTCCAAAGAGTTGTTAAAACCACATATTAAAAAGCCAGCAAGGGGCTGGGGATTTAGCTCAGCGGCAAAAGCGCCTGCCTGGCAAGCGCGAGGTCGTGAGTTCGGTTCCCGATACCGGAGAAAAACCAAAAAAATAAATAAATAAATAAAAGCCAGCAAACAACAAAACACTACTTTTTTATGTCATTCAAAATTGTATGTTTCTTTTAGCACTCACCTGTTGGTAAAGGTTTTCCCAGTAATCTTGTGTCATTAGCCTAAACAAGGCTAAGAAGGCCCAGCCGAAAGTGTCAAAGCTTGTGTAGCCATAATCAGGGTTTCTGCCAATCTTCACACAGGTGAACCCTTCTGGACACTGACTACACAGGAAAAAGAATATTACTGGTTAGAATGTCTGCAAGATACAAGTAAAGAGCCATATAACAAGGTTATAAACTTAAGGTACTTTATATAGGGAAAGATATTCAGCCATAATTAAGCTCACTTGATTTGGAGTCAAGAAGAAGTGGGTTTAAATCCCACCTTACTATTTACTAGTTTGACTTTGTCAAATTATTTAAATTCTCTAAGACATAGTTATCTCCTGTGAAAACAGGATAAAAACATTTAACTTCAAGAGGAAAAGATTGGTATTCAATTTAAATAAGATAAATTGTGCAGCTTCCTCTACTTACTTACTGCATATGGGAAACATTTAATAAAGAAACATTCTACACAGGAGGAGGAGCAAGAATAAATTCCCTGCTGCAAAATGAAGTTGTTGTGTGGGAGAGCTAGTAAGGCAGATCATATGGACTTGAGTCAGGATAAGTGATCCTTTTCTATAGCATGGCCAAAGCAGTTAGCCAAGAGTCATATTTAATTGGAGAAAGCATAAAACTTTGAGATAAACAGAAAAATTGATTCTGTTACTCTTCTTCCCAGAAAGAAGAAAGGCCTGAAATTATTCAACCCACTTTGATGGGGTTATATGTAAATAATTTTTTCTATCTTCATAATATTAACATGACTTATAGCTTTTTGAAATTCAAGCACTACCCCAAAGTCTTGCTTTCAAGGATATGCATTAACTATAAATGTTTTGTTCACTTTCGGATGCAATGAGTAAAATAATGCTTTAAAATGTATACAAATGATACAGAATTGAGGATTCTGATCAGCAAACTGATTAAGCATGATTTTTCCTTCTTTTGCAGCTTTTAGAAGAAAACAAACCAGGTAATACATACCCTGAATCTGTGCTGAAACCACAAAGGAGAGCATCTTTGGATCCCTCCAAGTAATAAACATATTCTGTTTAGGAAGAATTTGAACAATGTAGCATTACAATGTCAACTGGAAGAGTGGCATATCAAGTAAGTCAATAGATATCAACATACATACATCAATGAACATCAGTTCATTTATTGTACTTTCATATATACCCCTCAAATATTCATTGATAAATTCTTAAAGGGCCAGGCAGTGGATATGATGATAAACACGATAACAACATTGCTAATTTTGTGGAGCTTTCTTTTCGAGTAGGTGAAGACAGAAGTTCTGGGTGGAGAAAGACACTTAACAACTTAACAAATATATACTCTCATATTTATCAGACGGTGATAAACTAGGTTCATGACCTCCATTCTCTCCACAGTCCTGGGCACAAATTGAACTGGATAAAAGAGCTGAGTCAAGTTTCCATGGTCAACCACTGAATTTGATTTAGTTCTTGTCTCTTTCAGTTTTCAACCAGAGTCATGGGAAGAATCAAGTTCATGAACTGAAGTACCACTGTCCTCCAGAGAAACTAAAGTAAGATAATGTGACAAGCTGTGGTCTGGGAAGGCCTTTTAAAACATGACACTTGAGTAGGCACCTAGACATGAAGAAGGCAGCCATGTGGAGCCCCTGGAGAAGAGGCCCTTGGGTAGGAGAAGGGCAGGAGCAAGTGCTGTACAGCAGAGCTGAGGTTGGTGTGGGAGAACCAGCCAGACAGCCAGCACAGCAACAGTGAGAGGAGTAGGGGATTGTGATAGCAGAGGCATGCACAGGCTGGACCAGCAAGTGTTTTGAAGATCATGAAAAGAAGTTCTGGTTTTCAGTATCATTGAAAATAATGGAAGTGGACAGTGGAGCTATCAGACATCCTTCGTATCTTTAAGTGCCATGGTAGTTGCTTTGTGCAGTAAATTATAGAAGCAGAGAAGTCCAGAAACTAGGAGACCTACTAAGTGAATATAGTAAGAAATGTTATGCTTACAACTCAGAGAACAGGTCTGGATATGAAGAAGGGGTGGAAATGTGGTGGACAAAAATTACTGACGGAGGGTATACAGGGCCTATGCATAGGAGGACAGGCAGTGGCTCCAGCTACTAAGATGAGGAGATTGGGAGTAGCACGAGGAGCACTGTTTTAGCCGTGCTTAGTTTGAGATGGTTTTAGGTATGAAATGAGAAGTCTCAAGTGGACAACTAGATTGGTAGGAGAATCTGGAGATCAGTAGACTTATCAAAGATGGGGCCATCATCAAGGAGGTGGATGAGACTCCAGGAGTTTCCTAGAGCTAGAAAAGGAGAGGAAAATGAGTGAAGGAAGGCAGGGACGGCTGAGGGGAAAGAAAGGGGAAAAAAGGATGAAAAGGTGCTTGTAGCTGAGTTGCAAAGCACCCAAGATGAGGCAAAGGAATCAACAAGAAGGTACTGTAAATGAACACAATTTGTTTTCTGAACTTCTGTTATTGTTCATACACTAATAAATATTTGTTTTGGACTTATTAAATTTCAGCTATTGAGGATATGAGATATATTCATCCTTTATACTTTTTGTAGTATACTTTTACCTATATTTGGCAGTAAAGTGATCCTCTTCTGATATTTAAGAGTAAGGCTCACTTCTACTACCAGAGACAGATCTGAGCTTACACAGTGAATGTATGAAGGACTGACAAGACTTTTATCAGGGCCTCTAAATATCCATTCTTTTTATGTATTTATATATTTTTTTGTCTTTTTGAGACAGGGTCTCACTGTGTAGTTGAGGCCGGCCTTGAGCTCACTTTGTAGCACAGGCTGGTCTTGAACTGGCAATGATCCCCCTGCCTCAGCCTCCCAAGTCCATTCTCTTTGATAAGGTCACAACTTCCTATGTGGCTCAAGTAAAAGAAAAATATGATTTTTAGAAGACTTTTAGAGTGTGGTGAAATTAAGGCTTTGAAGACAGATATTCTTGGATTTCAGTGTTGCTTCTACCTTTTCCTTTGCAACTGAATTATCTTTTATTCCTCAAGCTTCAGCTACTGCATCTGTAAAATGTGGTTAAGAACATGTATTTTATAAAGTTGTTAAATAGAATACAGAGGCTATTGCATGTAAAGCAGTAACAGTAATCCACAAATTCTGTACTAGACAAGAGCTATTATTAATAAACTATTGTACATTTTCTTAGAAGAATAATTGATTGACCTCATCACACTGTTTCACTTCTAAGATATGCATAAATTAGCAAATCCTCATAGTTTGAGGTGGAAATTTAAATGATATTGCACATAAATATCTTATTTAGAAAAATTCTGGGCCTCACAGAGGAAGAACCTCACAACACAAGGATAGGGTAGGTGGCTAAGATGTATTACGTTTTTTTATTGGTGCATATCAGTAATATAAAGTAATGAGATTTTCTTTGGTATATTGGTACATGCATGTAACAAATTTGATTTTTTTATCTTAGTTAACCCTCCCACTTCCCCCAATTCTCCTTGACCCTCTTCTTTATTTCTAAAAATATACCTTTGAGTTCCTTGTGACTCCTGATTTATTTATCTATTTATTTATTTATGTAGTTATACAATAACTTCTAAACAAGGAGACAGTGAATTAATAGAATCGACTTCAAAATGGTTTACTTTTAATATGTAAAGAGAAGGGAAGATGCAATACAAAGAGAAATGAAATTTGTTGATGCACAATCCAAAATGGATTTTGAAAGATGATGAGTCATAACTCATTAATTCCACTACTTACATACACTGAGAATTGAACACCCATGTCCACACACAAGCTTGTACGTGAGTGTTCATGGTAACATTATTCTTATTGCTGAAAATGGAAACAATCAGTGTCTCTCAACTGTTGAATGTATAAACAAAATATGAGATAGGCACAAAATGTAATATTTTTCAGCAACAAAAAGGTATGAAGTGCTGATGTATACAACATGGTAAACTTTAAAACATTATGTTAGATCAGGGAAGAAATGTAAAGCCAGAGATTGTTTCATCCCATTTACAGTACATGCACCAAGTAAGTGAATTCAGGGAATAAGAAAGTACGTTAGTGTTCACCAGGGCCTTGGGGTAGGCAAGGAAGCGATGAGCAAACTCTAATGGGCACTGGGTTTCTTTTGCAGGAGAAGAAATATTTTGGAAAAGATGATGGTGATTACTGGGCAAGTCTGTGAAGATGGTGAAATATTTTAAAAGGGGGAGGCTTTTGACTCATGGATTATTTTTTCAATAAATCTATTTCAGAAAGACAATTCAGTATAATGAAAAAGATTGCATGTAGTAGCTGGATAAATACCAACTTCTCAGCAAAATCCATGTAAGGAAAACAATAGAAAATTTTGAAAATTGGTATAAAAAAATCTATAGTTAATATTCATTCTAGTACAGATCACAGGGGAATATTTTATTAACTTTGAGATCAGTAGAGCAAAATATTAAAATATAATTCTATGGCTATGTCTATCTACCCTTGCTCAGAAACACTGCTTGTAACGGTTGCACAAGGCTTAGGCCTTTGGAGGTGGAGGGTATGTTTCTCAAGCAAAGGGCAATAAAATAACTGAAGAAACGTGTTGGGAATCAAATTGGGGCAGAATGCCTGCAAGTGCCACACTGCATTCTGCAACATATAGTCTCAGCAATCAAAGGTCTGCAGAAAAGCTCTATTAGAAGTAGAGAGCAGCAATCAAAGGTCTGCAGAAAAGCTCTATTAGAAGTAGAGAGCAGTACCGTGGCTTTTCCTCAAACCTCTGTTAAGTATGAAACATTCAGAAAATAGGAGTAAAGGGGCATCTTACTTTAGCCCAAGTAATGTACCTTAGTAGAGTAGTTATTGGAAATTTAGCAACAAACTGCATGTACCTTACTTTCATCTACAGCAAAAACAAAGGGTGCTTGAGCAGCAGAGGAGATAATGAGTAATATCAGGAAAAACTCGTAAACTGTACATTTTGAAATAGAAAGCTATACAGTGATCCCTCTATTCGATAGTGAATTTTGAAAAACATGTCTGAAAAGGTCATGGGAACAAGAATCCACTTAGAGATGTTGCTTGGCTTTTTTGATAGGTTGTTTTTTACCATGATAATTCTTTAATATCCCAGGAATGCCAATGCATTTACCTCATCACTTGCCAGGATCTATCAAGAAAATCTTGAGTTCACTTCTTACTTTGTCCAGCCCCCTCAACCTATGCAATATCCTAAGAGCATCTTTTCCTTGCTTGCTTCTGAGTAGCTAAATATTGGTAGAGAAATTCTCATAATCAAGAGAATTGTTATGTTTTAAGTAAATTATATTCAGTATCAAACTGGGACTCAAAATAAATTCAATTTCTCATTCTATAAATAAACTGAATTTCTCATTCTCTAACATGATTATGTACTGCAAACCCTCCGTAGAATTTTTCCTTCCTTTTACAGTCTCAGCCACTGATTTTGTCTTATTTTTCTCTGGGAAAATAAAAGCCATAGGGTTGACTTTAATCACCTTTCAATAACTTTGCAGCCTGCCCCCCATCTTTCTGCTTTTTCACTATCTCAAGAGCCTGACTTTTTTCTGAGTGCCCTGAGTTATTCCATATTACTTCTATCACTAGGAAAAATACCTATGAAGATCCATATTTTAAAAACACTAGCTATTGTCACTTAATTCTTATTCCCTTTACCATAAAATTTCTTGGAAGAGTTTCACTCATACTATTTCCTCCTCTTTTGACTTCTTATTCACCTGTGTAACTGGCTTAGTTAGGTCCTGTTCCCTTACTGCTTCTGAACTTTTCTCATGAGCATCTCTTATAACTTCCATGTTGCTTAGGAATAATAAATATTTATCTATTTTCAACCTTAGTCCTTGATCTTGCAGTATCATTCCACACAAATATTCCCTTTTCAAAACATATTTTATTGTTTTGCCTTCACTATTTACATCTACATTTTCTTCTTCCTTTATTGCCTGTTCCTTCTTTGTGTCATTTTTGGGGGTCCTCTTTTTTACTTAAATCGTAAACATTAGAGTTGTGAAGTTGATCGTGTTATAAATTTTACCGTATCTTAAACCACCACATTCCCTATTGTCTTCCTGCCTATAAACATCTCTCCTTATATGTCCTTTCTTTTTGCCAATCACTTTGAAATTTATATCACAAAAGCAGGCCAGTTCCTCTGATCTATATACCTAAATCTCCAACTATTTATATTTTCCTTTGGACCTCTCAGAGATGTCTAAAGTTTAGGTGACTAATAGTGACTGTCTCCTAAAAACTTGGCCACCTTTCCCTTACTAATCACTGCTACCTATCCAGTTACTTCAGCTACCAATGGAGATGCTACCTTCTGCTCTCTCACACTAACAAATTGTACTATAAGAAAACATACATCTAGAAATTATGGTTCAGAGATTTGTCACTATAAATAGTGCTGATATGAGACACTTCACATGTGCTTGCTTCCTAGTGTGACTAGAAATTAAGGTCATTAACAGTTAAGAATTCCAATAAAGTGGTAACTAAAATTACTAGACTGTATTAAAAAATTTCTATATGCAATATATTAGGAAGGTAAGATCTGCTTGTGGTAAGGAAAAAACTATGAGGTGTGAAGCTGTTTAGTTTTGCAAGGGGAAAGCAGAATGTCTAGCTGTTTCAAAATAAGAAAAAAGTACTCTCTAAGAAAGACAACTGAAGGACTCTAAGAGTCATATTAGCCCCTTCAGAAATGAAACTTTCAAAATAATTCTTTGTATGATCAAGATGGCTAAGATAAAAGGGAACTGTTTATAAGTTTTTTTCAGTTGTGCATTAATGTCAAAAGGACACTGACACAAAAGTAGAATTTGGTTTTCTGTGTTACAACAACTAGGTTCTCTGTATGTTTTGATTTGGCCTTTATGAAAAACTGTGAAAAGTTTTTTTCTTCACTTTTTTAGGCAATTTCTTAAGAAACAATTCTGTTGTACCAACATCATTTCCAATGCCTCCTGTTGTCTTTATTAAGATTTCAATGGCTTCAGAAAACTGAGTTTCTTGATTAAAAGAGGTATGTTTTACCATGACTATTTAACATTTCTCCATATGCCTTTGAACTCTTTAAGCTATCACTCTTTTTAAAGGGATGACGACCATTTAAAGGACTGGTAATTCTCTTTTGATTATTTCAAACCTTGTGATATTTTTTGACAAAATTTTCAAAAATCAGATTCTAGATTAAGAATTTTTATGGATCTCAAGGTAATTTTGGAAATTTTCAAATGGACCCACAAAAGATCTCTTTATAAAAGAAATATTTTCAACGAATTGGACTTGATTTATAAAATTATATAAGAAGTACTGTCAAATAATAAGTAATGCAAAAGCTTCTTGGAGTTATACTTATATGGACATATCACTAAAATGCACCCAAAATAGGTTTGAAATTTCTAGAATTCTGAGTATTCTCAGCCCACTCATTGGCATGGCTAAAATTTGAAATTCTGATGATGAAATTGATTTGTTTCATAGAACTGATCAAGAATTAATAAATACCAGTGAAAGGTTTTAGCAGATTTTCATGCTGTCAGCTAATACTGAAATTCTTAAAATATGTAATATAATTTGAATTGAGTTACTTATGATAACTTATTTAACAATCAGTGCTTTAAAACTGATTTGGAGAAACAAGAGTATTATTTAAATGACATAAATCTAACAACTGTAAACTCACAGAAAATCTAGATGACTGCTTGATCTTAAGTCCTTAACATTTCTATTCTTAAAAACTGCATTCTATGATTCATAGTGGGATAAATAAAATGACCAAAAAATTTAAAAAATGGTTGAAGTGACTGTTATAATATTGTTAAAATGGTTTCACAGCCAAAGTTAGTTTGCCAGACTCATAAATTTTATGACTGAAATATCTGTCTCAAGTTTATTTACTGTGATAGCTGAGTCTGCTGCAGAGGCTGTAGATATCCACAAAGCTTCTTTAAATTCCCTTACCAAAAGTGTAATAAGAAAACCAAAGCAAAGATAATTTGATATTTCTAAACAAATTTATAGCCCTAATCACTTAACTGCTGATGGCCCCAACCTTGCAATGTCAGTAATGGTTCCTTTGGTAAATATCATTAGTGCCTTCTTACTGTTGACTCCTAAAGCACAAGGCATCCCATAGGGAAGGGTCTGTGTGGTCCTTCAGGAGATATTTTTATCTAAAATTAAAGACGTAATGATCCTTTAACCATATGTGTAGGCAGCTTTTTTTCAATGAATGGAAAATAAGGGACCAATGAAAATTATGAATTGTATTGGTTGACCTAGAACTAATTGGAAACTGAATATTGACCTACAGTTCATAATTTGGACTGTGGAATAAAGAAGAATTTGCTATCAGGCATAAATGCCTCTTGATGGATATATTTTAGTGGACTATTCCTTCCTAGCTTGACATAATATAAATGGGGTATGATAAAAATCTATCTCAAACACTGACTACTACAACTGACTCTAGTGCCAAAGCTATAGGTGCACAGAGAGCTTTAAATTCTTTAAATACTTTTACCAAAGTTGTTTTAAGTAATAAGATTGCTTTAGACCACTTTGTTGACCAAACAAGTAGGTGAAATCTGCTGCCCTTTGGTAAATGTGTCTGGTATGGTAGAAATGCAGTTGTAAGAAATCCATAAACTACTTAGAGAAAGCAAGTAGATTCCTCTGCTGGCTCATTTTTGATCCATTCTGTTTGTGGGTAGTTCCTGTTTTGGAATATATACCTCAATATCTCGGTATTGTCCTCCAATAGCCTTTATAATAATCTCCATGAAGAACTGAATCCTCTACAGACCCTTAAATGTTCCCATGCAGCAAGCAGTTATAGACTATCAAGTGTTCTCACCACAGTTAAAATGATGGAGATAGGAAGACAAAATTAAGAAGCATTTGGTTGACCATATGTTGAGAACTGTGAATCCCATACTGAGACCAAATAAATTCACTGAGATAATAACACAGACAGACAGAAAGGTACCAGTGTCCGAGGTTTACATCAACCTCTCAAAACTGAATAGGTTGTTCCCCAAAAGAGGGAATTGTTAAATTTGGCTTAAAACTTCCTCTGTACATAGGAAATTGCAATCTAACTTAGCATGTATGTAGACAAACTAAATTCAAGAGTGTACTCTTGTAACCAGTAGCTGAGTGTCAGTCACAGTACCTGAGTTTCAGGCAATCTCAGGCTTCCAACTGCCCAAATCATGTCTATAATGCAAATGCTGAGCTATAACCAATCAAGCCATTTCTGTATGTTAATATTTTTTCTTTGCTTTCCCACATTTGTTGCATGGAACTCTCTGAACTTCTGGTTGTAAATGGTGATTCATGAACCATTCTTTGCTCAGATGACCTTGGCTAAATTTAATTTGTCCTTTAACAAAGTTGTTTATTTATTTATTTATTTTTAACAAATTCAAGAATAAAATCAAGACTTAGAATGAAAGCAATGATAATGGTACTGGTAGGAAAAAGTTAAATTGGCTGAGTGTGCCGTTGACATACCTGTTTATTTCTTTTTTTTTTTTTTTTTTTGGTTTTTCTCTGGTACCGGGAACCAAACTCACAACCTTGCGCTTGCCAGGTGGGCGCTTTTGCCCCTGAGCTAAATCCCCAGCCCTGTTGACATACCTGTAATACAGATACTTAGGGAGGCTAAGGGAGGAAGGTCCCAAGTTTAAGGACAGCCTGGCAACTTAGGGAAACCCAGTCTAAAGATAAAATAATCGGGGATAGTGGTATAACTCAGTTATACAGTGCTTGCCGAATATGAATGAGTCCTGGGTTTAATCCTCAGTACTCACCACAAAAGAATTAAATTCAAATGTGTTATAAATCAATTGACAAAACTGAATGTAAATATGGACAAATATCCCTCAGACAATTTTGTATCATATAAACTAAGAAATTAAATTCTCTGGAAATTGAAAATAGAATTCAAGATCATAACTATAAAATTCAGAAACTAGAAAAGAAGCTAAGGATTAAGGAGCAAAATATGCTAAATTCCTAACCAATGCTGGTAATAAAGGAACATATATTAAATATTTTACTGGAAAGCATTTGGTTTCCTTCTTTATTCTTTTTTGCCTTGTTTCTTTACAGTCTTTTACTAATTTGGGTGGGTTTTATTGGTTTTTGTTTTCCCTAGAAAGTAGAGAAGGACGGTTCTCAAAAAATAAAAACATAGGCACTATTTACCATCTAAGAAGAACCCTGTGCTTTGCGTTCTGATCTACTTTTGGAGGGCTGGGGATATAGCTCAGTGGCAAAAACACTTGCCTGGCAAGCTCAAGGTCATGAGTTCAATTCCCAGCACACACACACACAAAAATTTGTAATGAAAATTATTTAGGGCTGGGGATTTAGCTCAGTGGCACAGCACCTTCCTGGCAAGAGCAAGGTCATGAGTTCGATTCCCGGTACTGGAAACCACCCCTCTCCAAAAAAAAGGATCTTACCTACTTTTGGCAAAGCCATGTATATATGGTATTTGAGAGGAGATTTAGTTTCCACCTAACTCCCAGAGCAAATTAATTACTAAAGTTTATGTGTTCATTTGGGAAACAGCATACAAACAAATCCAAGACATTAAACAGAAAATTGAACACAGTTCAATTTTGAACTCATTTTAGTGGAATATTCATCAACAGTACCAGTGAAAGACATTGCACTTGGGGATAATTGTTTAGAGAACATATGCTTCATGTTTTATGTAAGATATCTGAAAGTGTATTTTTTTTTTCTTTTTGAGACAGGGTCTCCCTGTGCAGTTCAGTCTGGTCTTGAGATCCCTTTGTAGCCCAGGCTGGCCTTGAACTCACAAGGATCCTCCTGTGTCAGCCTCCTTAGTGCTAGGATTACAGGCACATGCCACCACAGCCTGCTCAAAATGTATTTCTGAAATAACCAGATTTCTCAGATTTTGTGCAGACCGTCTCCTGTTTTACCTACAGAACTAGGAGAACTGAATTTAACTTTGACACGAGGCCGTCCCATCAGCCTGTATGCCTGCACTGACAGAAGTCATGAAAACAGCTGTGGAGCTTATCAACTGATTATAAGGATACCACTGATAAAATGAAATAAACTTTTATTTTATACAAATCTATAAAATATTATTGATATATTTCAATATTTTTGCTTTATTATCAATTTTACTCTAAGATACTACAATATAAGGATAGTTTAGGTATAAAAACAATTATTTTTTCATAAGATAAATGTCATATAATATACTACATATTATATACTGTTATAACCTATGACAAATATGCCATAGTGAGATATAATATTTAATATTGATTCATATTTACATTTGTTTTCCCAGAACAACTTAAATCTTTTTTATGTTATAGAAATTGTGAACTTATGACCATCTCATGTTTCAAAACTATTAGAAAGCAACAATTAGAAAAATTTATAGAAAAATGTATAATGTGATATAAATCCACATTATAGTAACATTCTATATACCTGAATAGATTTGAAATAATGAAGGACATTAATAAATGAACATTTATTGTTAAAACAGAAAAAACCTATTAGCATTATTTTATCCTATTAACAGCTACAGGGGCATTCTTACTTTTCAATTCTTCTTCATTGTTAGAGGTATTCAGCATGATCATAGCTGTTCCATTCTTTGCAATTTCGTCCTGCAAACATTTCTGCTTCAGGTTGCCCATGAAGAGCTGCAGTCCTATGAGTGCAAACACGCTCAGACAGAACACAGTCAGGATCATGACATCTGACAGCTTCTTCACCGACTGGATCAGCGCCCCCACAATGGTCTTCAGGCCTGCAGATGGAGAAAAGAGGTGTTCATACGGGCACAAAGCCTCCAAATGAGGTACAAAAGCAAAACACCGGCTTTCTTAGGGATGCATGCATTATGTCGGGTCAATGACTGTAAGTAATTTAACTCAGAAGAGCTTAGAGGTTGAAAGGGGTGGATTTGCCATTTTATATGCACAGTGTTTTCATATATTAAAGCAAATGATTAAAATTGTAAAATATTACCAGAAATATTTAAGTTCTCAAATGAAGAATTTGGTTGCTCGAACGATATTCATACTCACTTATAATTTTATAATTTCTAATTCACTAACTACTTGTCAAACAAGCCATCTCCCCGTAATGATACCAAAACAAATAAAAGCCTGAATTGTACCACATAATGACAAATTACACCCAACTAATTTTCAGTTAAGAAATAGTTTGTTGAGAGAGCTACTAAGCAATGTGTCATGCAATATCCCCATGCTGCTATTTCTTACTTATTTTCTTAATCCTGTGAAAAACATCTAAAATTAGTTGAAATTTTCCTTCCTGGAGAAGCAGAGGAAAAATGAGGGCTAAGACAGGAGGGAAAATTTCAAGTGGAGATGTGAGCCCCGTGGTCATCTTCATCCTCCAAGATTCATGCAACTGATTAAACTCAAAAGCTGACTTTTAATAACAGTTGTGAAAAAAAACCAGAATCAAATTCAATTAAAATTGCTTGGAGGATTTTCTTTTCTCCAAAAGATGGAAGTCAGCCCTTGTGTTTAATCCCACTCTCACCTGGAATGACTGAAATAGTTTTCAGTGCTCGGAGAACTCTGAATGTTCTCAATGCTGAGACATTGCCCAGGTCCACAAACTCTGTCACATATCTGTAATGGGGGAGTTTATACACAAACACAGTGACAACACACACACAAACAAGGAATAACTCCCAAACAGTTGGAGTTATAAGTAGCCTAGTGGTCCACACCAATCACTTCTTACCTGGAATTACAGAAATAGTTTTCAAAGCTCTCAAGACTCTGAAAGTTCGAAGAGCTGAAACATTGCCTAGGTTTACAAATTCTGTTAAATACCTGTAGAATTAAATCAGAGTTATTCAGAATTTAGGTAGAGTCTCTGATACTTACCTGTGCCTTTAGTCATGGTATTTTCTATGTTTGGAATGTTTTCGTAAAATACATAATTTTGCAAGTCTTGTTTTCTATCATAATCAATTTATGCTAACTTGCTTTGATTTGAAATATTGGACTCAAAAAATACAAATAGCAAATTATTCACACAGTTCCTACACTCAAATGCTTAAATAAACAATTAAATGCTATAATAGTAGCTTGTTAGCATTATGGTAGTGTGAATTTTTAATCTCTTAAAAACCATTGAAAATAGCATGGTATGGGAAAGTAGCAGGACACAGACACACAAAAACTTCATACTGTGTGATTTCACTTATGTAAAATATCCAGAAGAGACAAATCTATACAGAAAAAATCATAAATGAGTAGTTTTGAAGAGGTGGAGGAGGAGAAAGAAATGAAAGTGACTGAAAATGGGTACCACAGCTTTCTTTTTTAGGGCGATGTAAATTTTCTCAATTTAGATAGAGATGGTGGTTTCACAACTTTGTAAATATACTAAAAAACACTGAATTCCATGCTTTAAAAAGGTGAAAGTTGTGATATATAAATTCTACCAACAGAAAAAAAGATGGAAAAGAAAATTAACCTATTCTAGCACCACGTTTTCTTATCAGCAGGAAACAAATGAAGTACAGCATCGTATCTGACTTAGAAACAGGAATTCTTTTTTTTTTTTTTTGGTTTTTCTCCGGTACCGGGAACCGAACTCACGACCTCGCGCTTGCCAGGCAGGCGCTTTTGCCGCTGAGCTAAATCCCCAGCCCCAGAAACAGGAATTCTGACAAACAAGGAGGTGGTCAGGGGAGAGGGAATCAAAGATCAAAAGTCTTAAGAACCTTGTGAAATGTCTAACAGGCTCAAATGAACATAGATTACTTTATAATTCAAAATGATAAATGAATAATATTGCATCTAGGTTTAATATTTAAAAATGTTTTTGACATATACACTTGGGAAAAGAATAACAACATGAATCAGTTCAATTTATATTTTAATGGAATAATTTCCCCTTGGAAACGAGCTGTGGATTTATATACAATGTGCTCACAAAGCAATAGCATTAGATCGAGTAAGTAGTGATGACTTCTTTAAAAATATAATTCCTCTATTTTAATAGACTTATTGGCTCTTGAATAGCACAGGCTAAAGAAAAGAGCACTGTACTTAGAATTAAAAGCCTAAGGATCAGTGTGTGTGTGAGAGACAGAGAGAGAGACAGCGTGTGTGTGTGTGTGTGTGTGCGTGCGTGCATGCACATGAGCTTCTTAAAGATTTCTAAGTTTTTATGTAAGATCTAGGAAAAGTGTGAACCTACTTAGCACTACATGGATGATCTACTCAAGTCTTGATCTAATACTTTCCTGAAAAAAATGTAATATTTTTTCTATGTTTGGAATGTTTAGCTTTCATTTTCCTTGAAATTCAACCATTATGTACAGGAAAAAATCAAACCCCAAGACTGTTTTTACTAGAATACTGCAATACATGAAATTTTCATGAATTTCTATTTCAAAAGAAGAGTACTTACGCAAAAACAATCACGATAAAATCCAGCCAGTTCCATGGATCCCTAAGGAAAGTGAATTCTCCAACACAGAAGCCTCTTGCAAGGATTTTTATAAGTGATTCAAAAGTGTATATTCCAGTAAAAGTGTACCTGGACACAAGATTCCATTGGGATATTAGATGTGAAAAGGATTTAGTCTCATGCAAATCTTTATAACTTATTTTCTTTGAATAAAAAAGAAGAGATCTATTGGAGGATGCTGTTGGTAGTATACGAACCCATATTTAACTTTATAGAACAATAAAGGTCTTTGCAGAAAAATTTTAAAATGTACTTATCAGGAACACTTCCAGAAAGTAGCGGTACTTGAAATAACTAATACCATAGGTAGTATATCTGCCTAGGAATTTCTTAGATTGTGACTGTCAAAATATATGCCAAAATAAGAGGTCTATAACATGCTTAAGAACAAGGTAGGGGATGTGATGGGTTTACTCTTCTAGAAAACATTGCAGTATCTAATAATTCTAAACTACTGTTAGTGATTTAATTTCACAGAATAGAAAAAAAAAAAAACTGAAAGACAATGATACAGCCCGAGAAAATAGACATCGCAATTTTTATAGATGTCGTTAACTTCCTGATATGAATAGGAAAGGGTGAAAATGATAACATAACTATTTTTAAATGTACTTATGCCCACTTACTCTACATTTTTGGTCCATTCTGGAGGGCTCTTCATGGTCATAAATATGCAGTTTGTCAGAATGGTGCACATGATAAGCATGCTGAACAAGGTGGTTTAGAATCAAGGAACATGGTGTAGAGACCACAAGAACTTCAAGTATTTTATAATGACAGTTGTTGAAATGCTAAAAACTTTTCCTTAGAAAATAATCTAAATGAGCTTCTAGGTTACTTTTTGACACTTTGAACAAAACATTAAAGCCAAACACCCTAAAATTCTAAGAATACCATTCTGTCAATCACCTCTGAGACGTACATCAATTTTTGTTTAAATTGATAAACTACACCTAGCGTTGTTCAAAATGAGAAAGGACTAAACTCCATATTTGAAAATAGTAGCAAAATGTATACTGTAAAGCACCATTTCAAATGAGCACTTTGGGAAGGATATGAGTGTACTAAAATCTTAATAGAAATTCTTCTTAGCGGACTGAAAGGAGATAATATGTACAGAGCAGGTGTGGCATTGAAACGGAAGATCGCTTTCCCTTTGTTCAGTACTATAAAAGTCTGCAGGAGATAAAGAAAGTGTGAAGTTGAGAACCCAAAATTTCAGTCGAGCACATCAAATACACAGTTTACATCTCCACGAGGCATTAGTAGTATTAAAGAGAAACGGCCGTTACTTCCCAGGCAACGTGGTTCCCCTGCCACCAGGTGACTATCAATGCCAACTTGTCCAATGAACGAAAGTCCATATCTGGGCAATAAATTAATTGTTGAGCTATTTACAATCATGTGTTGCCTTTCAACCCATTTTCACACATTTTCTTTTTCATATTTCTTCAACAGTAAGAATAACAATAATATGTGGCCACTGAAATTAGTTTAAAATACTTCATTCTCTTCCATTACACTGCATTTTAAATCAATCAGATAAAAAGGAGCTATCTCTGATTTTTCACATCTTGAGAATGTTAGCACTTACTTGCAATTGTCATGGTTGATAGCAAATGAGTTTTTTCAAAAATATTTTCATGTATTTATAAAATGTCAGATTTGGAAGAAGAGTTCTAATTACTAAGTTCAACTTCCCTACTTTAGTTAGTAGGGAAATTTAGTTTAGTTACTTTTATTTTAATACTAAAATAAAATAAAGAATTTGCTTGCTCCTATGCATTGTAATTTTTAAAATAATCTGAATAAAATTAAGCATTTTAAAAATAGTTTATTGTGGCCATTTCTTAATGAGTGACTTCCCCCACACCTTTCATACTTAGTTAAGAAATCAAAACAAATTGACTAACATATAGTAGCAAACACCATCAGAGCATTGAAAAAAACTAATAGAACTGGGTTCAAATCAGCAAGATCAACTCAAAACCCCTATCAATTGGCAGAAAAATTACTTGTGTCTCTTAGACTTAGTCTTTTTGAGACAGGGTTTCGCTATGCAGTTCAGGCTGCGCTTGAGCTCACTTTGTAGCCCAGGCTGGTCTCGAACTCACGATGATCCTCTGTCTCAGCCTCCCCAGTGCTGGGATTACAGGCGTGCACCACCACGCCCGGCCCTGATTTAGTCTTTTTTGTTGTTTTGTTTAGTCTTTCTTTTATAAAAGTGTATGACTTGGCTTCTGGCAATACACATTTTTCCCAAATTGGGGAGGTAAGTTTATGAATCTGGATTTTTATTTGTGGACAGTGACAGCGGTGTTTACCTAGGAAAAGAAACCAGAATCTAATCCTGTTCCCTTTCATTATTATTCCTGTTCCTTTATGTCTAAATGTAATCTGATAAACAATTTATTTTATGTTGAAAATTAGTTTTGAAATTAATGTCTAGTGCCTCAGTAAACTATTTTCTCCTTAAATCTCAATAAACTACATTTCTACAATTCCACTTATTAACCCAGGTACAATGGTGTATGCCCATAGGAGACTGAAGCAGAAGTATAGCAAGTTTGAATTCCACCTGGGCAATTTAGCAAAATTTTGTCTCCAAAGAAAAAATTTGAAGTTCTGGGATGGAGCTTAGTGTGAAGACCCTCGTTTCAATCTCTGGCATTGGGAAAAAATCATTCATCTATTCTTTCTATAATTCTATAAACATACAATGAGTAGTTAAGTAACAAATGAAAATGAAAGGAATCTAAACTGGCAAAAAAGTTACAAAGCTGCTATGCAGGTTTGACATGTTCAAGTTATTTCACACTTGAAATTTTAAAAAAAGAAAAGAATTTAATACTTTCAAGTTAGAATTAGCAATTTTGATTCTCATTTAAAACTTTTCAAGGGTTAATTTTCAAGCAAGAAAAATAGGCATACTATATATTTTTGGGTGTATATAATCATATCCATAAAAGCAGAACGTTATATTGAACAGTCTAAAAGAAATCAAATTAATAAGCCAACATCACAAACTGCTCTAGTGATAAAGTAGGAAAAGTACATATTCTGACTATCCTATACATGTTTTTAATTTAATATTATGGTCATGAGTGGTTTTTCCCTAGTTTCCACTTACAGCACTCTGTTTAAAATATCTTCTATGCAGAAGGAAAGCAGAAGAAACATGCCACAGAAGTCCCAAGAACTCACTTTTTTGTCTGCATAGTAGGGGTCCAGGTCCTCCAGGGCCTCTGACACCATGCCTGGAGGAATGTCTCCGTAGATGAACGGTAACTGTTTGCCAGCCTCCAAGTCGCTGCTGGGCTTTGGGCCTTCTTCTTCATCATCTTTCTTTTCTTCTTTGGGTTCTTGTGCTTTTCTTTCAGCGATGCGCTGCTCAATGTGGGCAAGAGACTGTTTTGTGAAGCGGACAAAGCTCTGAGGTCCTGGGGGAGGCAATGTTGCCATCTTTTCATCCTGTATATTTTATCTCCTTTTTAGCTCCTTACATAAGAGGCCTAGGTAGGAAAAGAGAAATAAATATTTAAATATGTGGCTACAGGGAAGACACCTTAAAAAAACAACAGACCAGCGCTGACCCTAAAAGCCCACTTGCGGTGAGCTCGCCTAGCAGACCCACATCCTTGGGTGCAATCTATGACACCACAGCAAACAACAAAAGCTGAGCGAACCACAAGAGGTCATAGGTTCACAGAATTATCAAATTAAGTAACGACTATGTGCCAGGCAATGTGCAAGCCTTACTTTCATTTCAAGCCTGTAATCACCCTAAAATCTTGAACCTAATACATCACAGCTCTAAAGTTAAAAAAGAATGATGGAAAAAAAGACAATTTAATGAAAAAAAATTCTGTATTCTCTTTACTTTTCATCTAAATTCATTTCATGCAATTAAAGTTAATGTTCTACTTTTAAAAGTCTTTGGCATTATTTCCAGTAGCTATACTCTCTAGGTTGTGTCCTACTTTGCTTTTCTGATTGTCAGACCATCAACATTCTTACATCTTGTGATGACAGTCATACCCTCCACTTCTCTGTCTTTCTGAAGAAAGCTCCTTTCTGTGAAATAAGTCTATGGAAATCATGTTATATATTTTTAAATAAATATATATTCTTCCTAAAAGTTAGAAAACTATATTTCTGTTTTGAATCAAAACAAAAATGTTTTGATGAGAACGAAGAAAAGAAAGTTAGGTCTTTTGTGGTAGAACTAATATAAAAAGTAAAAAAAAAAAAAATCACTAGTAAAAAAACCACTTTGATGTGCTTTCTGACTATTACTTCTCTAATTAACCTACATGTACATACAAAAATATTTATTTTTTGTAGTAAATTTGTGTGAGAGCTGGGACATACCATCTTCTCTACATCAAAGTTGTGAACATCATGATAGATTATACACAGGATTAAGTGAGAGTCTTTCAGTTGTAAGTATAAAAATCCTGTAGATTACAGCCACAGTGGGGGTTATGTGATGCAAAGGAGGAGGAGACTCTGAGAGCATTCTTTCTTAGATTTCTCCTGTTCCCATGTCCAACAATATGACCTTCAACTAGAACAAAGCATATGAGTTTTCTCCTCAGTTACTTGGGCTCAAAACAAGTATAAACCATTACCAGAAACCTATGTATCTTAGGAAAAAGGCAGTCAAACACATTAAAAAGAAAACATAAAACTTTTTAAATGCCATGTTTTAAAAATTAAAAAGCAAATTCAACATTTCCAAAAATGCTTTTTTACGGTTTGTAACATAATTCATACGCCATGCTGCATATCATCACATTCCCTTTTTAATCTACTAACTCATCTTCATTTACATGATGTGTTTTTCCAAGTACTTAGTTTAGATCTGTTACAACATCAGAAATTTAAGGCTGGGAGAATAAGGAGATAATGCAGTTTTTGTCTTCAAGGAATTTGACTGAAAGAAGGGATGCCAATCACGCTGAATCATACTGCAGAGACAAATCTGGTTTCACTGTTCTGAAGGAGAATGTAGTTAGCATACATAACCAGCATCCTTTTTTTCTACTCTGATGTAGAAACAGATATATATATATATATACATATATATATATACATATATAAGGATGTGTCTAGAGAAAATATGACAGTTAATAGGAGGTGGTGGACCATTCTGGTTTCAGTACAAAGTTTCATGTATTTCTGCTATAAATTCCTAGAGTCATTATTTTCTTTATTCACCTACAAAGATGGAATCTAACAGCTTTTGAGTAGACATACAGCAAATTTTCAGAAAAGAAGGTATACTGAAAGTCATGCAATACCAAGTTTGGAAATATATATCAACTTATGAACTCAGGATTATGAAATTTACAATTATGAATAAGAAAGAGGTCACTCTGCTTTATAAGCAGCTATTTTACTTTAAAATTATTACTTACTTTAAAATAAATTACTTTAATCAAAATTTAAAATGTTGACTGTTTGATAATTTGTGAGTATTATTAAAATATTTTACTAACATTATTTGCTCCATTATATATCTTCCAATGCCAGTAACAAAAGACATATTTTAATGGAAACTAAAGGTAATTCTTAACAGTGTAGTGGAAGATAGACAGACAGACAGATAGTAGATAAATGGAATGAACTAAAAAATAAGGGCCATCACATGTATACATTCAAGTAGAGGATAGGGTTAATGAGTATGGAGTTTTTTGGATGATAAAATGTTTTGAAATTAGGTAATAATAAGGCTTATATTGTACTAAAAACTGAATCATACACTTTAACGTGGTGATTCCTATATTATATGAATCATGCCTCAATAAAACTGTTGTTAAAAAATATTTTAAGTATTATGAAAAATGTTTAAATTGTTCTGAGAAAAGAAAGTTCAGTAAAATGGAAATAAACCAACACTAACCACCTTAGGAGACTCCACTGGCATCTATAAAAATGGGATTGGTCTTGGTCTGAGATGAATTCAGGAATGCTAAGGTTTAATGCAGCCACTTAAAGGCTGGGCTTAGTTCCATTTATAAAGCTTTCTTGGTAGACAAGATGGGCTGATTCCAGAAGCTTTTGACCTTTTGAATTCATATTAAATTAACCTGAGAAATAAGACAGTGATTGCAGTCCCCAGTTATATTTTAGAAATTCCTTAACACTTCTGAAAATCATAAATATGAGGAGCCTTAATGGACTTTCACTGTAGATGTAGTTGGGTTGTTAAAGAAAAGATGGTTGAATAACTGGTGTTTTATATGGTCAACATTTGCCTCGCATGTTTCATCTCTTTCAAGAATTATTTGACAGATAAACAGGTAAACAGATGTCTTGAACTCAGATATCTGTCACAAATTCTACACTTCCAGTGTTCCTAGTCCTGTTTTCCCATCTTTTTATTTGCTCCAGTTGTTGCAGGTAGCTAAATTAGAGAGAAATATTATAGGCAGTAATACAAGGTTAGGCTCTCAAAGGAGCCAGTATGGAAGACAAGATACCTTGCATCTGTGGGAGAGACAGACACCTCTGGTGGGCCAGACTTCAAGACAAAAGATGAAACAAATGCACTCACATACCTCCCTAAAGATAAGCATCAGGGACTGATATTTAAAATAGGCCTCTATCACCTTGAGAAAGTCAGGAAGAGTCACTAATTCAACCCCTACAGGAAAAGCCCCTGTTCTGTATTCTTGCCCACTTGCTATGTGACTTGCTTCCCTATTTGATCCTGATACAATCAATTTTACCTGAGCAATTATGTTTGTAATTTTATTGGTTGACCATAGTTTTGTCCCACCTCATGCCCACCTTGGGATTTCCCATGTTTCCCACCTTAGACCTGCCTTACCTGGTGGTTTTGCTCTATAAAAATCCCTCGAAAAGGCAGGGTCCTTGGCAGCCCACTCAGGTCCCCTTCTGTTTCTCTCTCAGACAGAAGCTTTCTTTCCCTCAATAAATATACTCTGCTCTTCAGCCCCATTGTTTCTAAAATGCATTCTTTGACTTTATAGAACATGAACTCATCCCAGATATCTAGCAGGCTGGGAGTTTCTTTCCCCTATATCATAATCTTTTCCGTTTTCTCCACTTATGTACATCCTCAACACACAAGTCCAAAATGACTGAAAAATATAAACAGCAGAGGTGGGGGAGGGACTGGTGTTAATAGCACCATGGGTAGTATTTTGTCAGTGAGGAAAAACTGAAGAAAGAAGTTAAACACCAACTGAACATCACGGTCTTAGGAAAGTGAGCGGAAAGAGATGCCTGATCAGATTCTATCGTCCTTATCATCTAGTTTAGAGAGGTAAAACTTCCTCTCATTTTACTAAAACTAACTTTTAAGAAAAAAGCTCTAATTGATAAGAATCTCACAGGAAATTATAATAAAGCTAGGCTGGTGAGACGGCTGGCTGACACCGTGCCAGTGAATAGTAAAACTAGAAATGGAGACTTCCAGAGCAGAAGTCAATAACGGAGAATAACTTGTCTCTGACTATAGCTTCTTCTCCTCCCCTTAGTCTGCTAATTAAATAGGCCATAGCATTTTTTTTTTTTTAATCTGTTTTTGAGACAGGGTCTTGCTGTATAGCTCAGGCTGGTCTTAAGCTCACTTTGTAGCTCAGGCTGGTCTCAAACTCCCAACTATCTTCTTGCCTCAGCCTCCCAAGTGATGGGATTACAGGCGTGTGCCACTACCCCTGGTGGCCATAGGAATTCTTATGTTAGGCATCCAGTCTCAGATTTGGACTTTTTGGTGGACTAAATATTAACATGAAAAACTAAGACTCAAAACTACAAATAAAAAGAAAGATGAACTCTTACAAACATTGCATCAAAAACACAATCTCTTGAGAAAAAGAATGCTAGATCTTTAGAAAAAGAAAAGATTGTTTTATTGTTTGTTTGTTTGTTTTCTGGTACCAGGAATCGAACTCACAACCTCGTGCTTGCCAGGCAGGCGCTGTGCTGCTGAGGTAAATCCCCAGCCCAGAAAAGATTTTTTTAAATGAGGAGATTCCTACAAAAGTGGAAGGAAATACAATACAATTGACATACATTTTTTTTCTTTAATTAATAAAGATACTAAAACAGTAAGAGGTAATGCAAAAGAACGTATGTTTGAAAATTCAAAATAATAAACATTTGATAACATGGCAGTCTTCACAGTAATCTAAGAAATAAAAATTAAAACGTGAAACCGATTACCCTTATAAATCAGCTAAGATCTTAACATAAGTAACAATGGTATTAGCAGAGAAGAAATAGGGGAAATTACTGTCCATCTGGATGATAGGAATAAATAATGAATACAAATGTTTCAAGGGTAATTTGGCAGTACCTGCTAAAAATGTTGATTCATTTTTCTTGCCAAATAACTTCTTCCTAGGAATTTATCTAAAGACATAGTCTCAGATGTCTTCCAAGATTTATGAAGATGTTTATTGCAATGTTTTTATGTTATTGAAACATTGAAATCAATCCAAAAGACTAATAGTCAAGGTTTATTAAATAAAAAATGAAA